AGTCCTCTAAATTGAGTTCACATTTTAATGTTTGCAATGAATTGAAAATTTGTGATAACTTTATGTCACTATTAATGTGATAATAAATGAGACCAAAATTATTGTATATTTCGTTACAATTTTGACCAAACATTTCATTCATCCGATTCTGAAGTATTTCAATAAAGTCTTCGTTTGAATCTCTATTCACTTTAACAATGATATCAAATCCTACGGCATATCTAGTCTTCAGTTCATCAGTGAATCCAATGGTTTTGATGACACCTTTCGAGAGAATTGCCAAACGATTGCATAATATCTGACATTCAGTCATATTATGAGACGTTAAGAGTATTGAAATGTTTAATTCATTCATTAATTTTGATAATATTTTCCATATTTTGAGCCGAGAGGAGGGGTCGACACCATTAGTGGGTTCGTCGAGCAGTAATAGCCCGGGAGTGCCCATCAGTGCCGCCGCCAGAGACAGCTTTCGACGATTACCTCCGCTATAAGTGGAGACCCTTTTGTTGATTATTGCTTTCATTTCAAACTTATTTATTATGTTTGTAATGAATGTGTCGTAAGTCTGTCTCTCGAGACCACGAATTCTGGCGAAAAATACAAGAGTTTGTATTCCTGTCAACGGATCCAAAAGGGCGTCATTTTGTGGACAATAACCGATTCGTGAGAAGTATTTCTGTGTCTTTACCCTCAGGTCTGCGTCTGAACCCAAGTATGCGTTACCGGAGTCTGAGTCCAGATCTCCAGTGAGTAGTCTAAAGGTTGACGTCTTTCCCGAACCATTGGTTCCCAATAAACCCAAACATTCACTTCTGTTCACCAAAAACGACAACTCATTCACTAATATTGTCTTCCGATTCACTTTTTTACTCAATTTATGGACAATTAGTGAAACGCTTTCGAAATCTCTACTTCTTATGACTTGTGATACTTTTTCCGACTCTTCTCTCACATCCGATCTCTCCATCACTTCTTGTAATTCAAAACTGTTTTCATTGATAACTATTTTTCTGCACAATTCTTTGCAAAATTTCATAAATCTTTTAAGCACTTTATATTCAATGAACAAAACAATAGTCATATATAACACGGCATACAATGTAAACCTCCCGTAATATACAGCCATATATTCAAATGGATTGAGCCATTCATAGCAATGAGGTATATCGTCGCGATTTATGTGATGAATGTTAACCCTATCACTATCACCTGTGTAATGCCGCCATTGATCATATTGAGGGTGACAATAACCGGGACAACAGTAATTAGGACCAGGATCATAATAATATCTCATAGAGCTTGTATTTATATCGCAATCAAAATACAAATTTTGACCCAATGCCACAGAATTAGGGCAAAAGTTGTTTGAATTAAGTATTTGATGCAAACGATTGATACAATTTGTAAATAAAGTGCTCGGCATTAATATTGATAGTATTTCGGCCATTATATCTGAGTATATTTTTGGGATGTTCTGGATGTTCCACCATAATATTCTGTCGGGAAATGCTATAAATAATTGTAAAAATATTACAATTGTGCCAATAATTATGCTATACATTGATGTGAAGGCAAACCCTGTCGACGGCTTTGTGAACATAAATGACAGCAAATATGCGAATGATATGAATGTCAATCCATAGCATATGAATGTCATGTATAGGGATATAAGTGATGATAACCCATGGCCTGTGAAATGCGATTTCGTGTCACAGATGTAGTAAATCAATAAATAAATTGCTGAACAAATTGAATGTACGGTTAAGTCAAACGCCAAGTTTGCCCACCAATAGATCACTGGTTTAAGTCCTGACATGAATTGAATTAATTTGAATTTAACTCTACTTTCAGTAATCGGTTGTAATATATATGCGGCGGATGTGAAGGAAAACAGTATTAAATACACGATATAATCAATTGTAAATGAAGATTCTTTATAGTATAATCTAGTTAATATTTTATCATCATGTTGCTTTTTAGGTTTAGCCGGTTTTGTCGGTTTAGTAGAGATAGTAATCCGATAGTTATTGTTTTGAGTTAATTGTCTGATTAAAGCGTTTGACATTAAATTTATAGATATGGGCAGTGAATGAATTGCTATTGAATTGTACCAAACATTTATATTGAAACAATAATTTGTAGAGATATTATCATCAGTGGAAACGCCAAACAATAACTTTTTAAAATATGGTGATAAACCATTTTCATCGCTGTATTTAAGTAGTGATTGTTGTATATCTTTGTGGACATTATTTTTAAGATCTATTTCATTGATTCCCAAATCACTCAATACTTTGGCATAACTTTTAGCAAATTGTTGATCATTTGTAACAACAAATCCGTTCATATTTTTGCCATATATTTGCGGATTAATATTGTGTCGTATATTTAACGGTGTTTTTTCAAAATGATCATGATACTTGTTATAAATGATTACATCAATTAACTGAAATTGTATTATTATAGAAGTGATAGGAATTATTAATAATATTAAAAACATTGAAAATTGTTTTGACAGATAAAAATATCGTTTAACAAAAATGCCGTAGAATTGACTTAAAACTAGTCTTAAAGTTGAGATTTTGTTTTGTTGTGTATTCAATGATTCAGTAAAGAGATTATCGTTATTATCATTGATATTAATTTCAAAATCTTCAGGTATTTTATCATCAATTTTTGAGACAATCTGAGCGTAAGAGCCCTCGAGTGTTGTCATCCCTAACGACATGTTATTAATCGCTAATAAAGTCTTATTTCTCTCCAATTCGTCAAACATTTGTCCGAATCTATCGTTTTGTTGAAAGTTTAGACCGAAAACCAGTTCTTCATTGTCTCGCAAATTGTTTTTTGAGAAACTCTTGATTTCACTGTATTTTGCAATAGTTTTTGTGATCTGACTCTCGGTTTGCATTTCATTTGATTTATTAATTTTCAATTCATATCCGGAATTGAATTCGTGTTTCATCTGAAGAGTGGTTCCATTGAAACAAAGAACTCCTTTAGAGATAATATAGATCTTATCCGAGAGTAGATTCGCTTCTTCGAAGTCGTGGGAAGTAATCAAAACTGTCTTTGATTTCCTGTATTCAATGATTAGATCCCAAACCTGTTGTCTAACTCTCGGATCCAAAGCAGCCGTCGGTTCGTCTAATACTAAGACATCGTTGTGTCCGATGAGAGCCAACGACAGGACTAGTCGTCGAAGAGTACCTCCGGACAGATGTAACGCCTGTTTGTCTATGTCTTCGTTGAGACCTAATCTAGTGATGAGTTCTTCACCACTGTATCCATCATTACTCTCGCGTATGGTTTGCTTTAATTGTGAGAATATCTTCAAATGATCTTTAATTGTCAAGTATTTGAAGTAAACGTTTTGTTGCGGACAAAAACCAATCATTTTGTGAACCAAATGCTTATCTTTACGGATATCGTGTCCACCGATAGATATTTGTCCCTCAAAATCAATTGCTTCTATAATTCAGAATATAATTTTAGATTTTTTTAAATAAGAAAAGGCAATCAACAATAGAGAATGAAATTAACCAATATTACATAATATACATGCTAAATATTAACTTATATTTAAAATAATTAATATTATGATTTACAATAATACCTATAATTATGTTTACAAGTGATGTCTTTCCCGAACCATTGGGTCCCAGAATAACGGCAATGGATTTCTCCTCAATATTTAGATTAATATCGTTTAATATTTTCACACATTTTCTCTCAAATATTGATTTATAAGTTTTGCACACATTTCTAATGTGAATAAAGACTTGATTTGAGCCAATCATTGGTTCGTGTATTTCTTCTGAAATTTTTTTTACAAATATTTGTTTCAATTTTTCGTAAATACATAAAACGGGAAAATAAAACGGTTTATAAATTGTGTGTTTGAATGGTATGATTGACGAGAAATACCAAATCAATAGCCCATACATTGGGTACGAGATTATTATAACAACTATAATATGAATTAAAGTCATGTCATCATAAAAGAAACCAGGTTCAAATATATGGGACCAATTGGCACTGTAAGAGGTATTAAGTACTAATCCCATAGTTATGTGAAAAAACCAAAGTAGCGCACAGTTTGGCAATAGACAGGATATTATGGTTTTATACCCAAAATTTTCAAAATATTTCATTGCAAAGAGTGGTATGAATGAGATAGCCATCCATGAGATTATGGTAACAATGACTGCAATGTTGGGACTCCTAAAGAAAACTGATATTAAGGCCACAAATAGTATGCTTTGAATGAGAAATAGTGTCGAAAAGACGGCAAACAATGACAGAGAGATTCCGTATAGAAGTGAATGCGAATATATAAATGGATTATTGATGTCATACCCCTCTCTGTAATGTATTTTCACATAACTATGGGATTAGTACTCAATACCTCTTACAATGCCAATTGGCCGCATATATTTGAACCTGGTTTCTTTTATGACAACATGACTTTATGTCATATAATAGTTGTTATGCTTATCTCGTACCCAATGTATGCGCTATTGATTTGGTATTTCTCGTCAATCATACCATTCAAACACACAATTCATAAACCGTTTTATTTTCCTGTTTTATATATTTATGAAAAAATCAAACAATTTTCTAACAAAAAACATTCTGAAGAAATATACGAACCGATGATTGATTCAAATCAAGCCGTTATTCATATTAGAAATGTGTGCAAAACTTATAAAACATTGTTTGAGAGAAAATGTGTGAAAACATTAAATGATATCAATCTAAACATCGACGGGAAGTCTATTGCCGTTATTCTGGGACCCAATGGTTCGGGAAAGACATCACTTATTAACATAATTACCGGTATTATTGTGAAGCATAATCTTAATTATTTTATTTATAATTTAAAATTCAACTTGTACATTGTGTGATATTAGTTATTTTTATTTTTTATTGTAAATAACCTTTTCTTATAAAAAATTATTAATTATATAATGTAATTATTTTGTGAATATATTAGGAACCATTGATTTTGAGGGACAGATATCTATCGGTGGACACGATATCCGTAATGATAAGCATTTGGTTCACAAAATGATAGGTTTTTGTCCTCAAGAAAATGTTTACTTCAAATACTTGACAATTAGAGACCATTTGAAGATATTTTCTCAATTAAAACTAATAATACGTGAAAGTAATGATGGATACAGTGGTGAAGAACTCATCACTAGATTAGGTCTCAACGAAGACATAGACAAACAGGCGTTACATCTGTCCGGCGGTACTCTTCGACGACTGGTTCTGTCTTTGGCTCTCATCGGACACAACGATGTCTTAGTATTAGACGAACCGACGGCTGCTTTGGATCCGAAGCTCAGACAACAGGTTTGGGATCTAATCATTGAATACAGAAAATCAAATACAGTTTTAATCACTTCTCATGACTTCGAAGAAGCGAATCTACTCTCGGATCAGATCTGTATTATCTCTAAAGGAGTTCTTTGTTTCAATGGAACCACTCTTCAGATGAAACACGAATTCAATTCCGGATATGAATTGAAAATTAATAAATCAAATGAAATGCAAACCGAGAGTCAAATCACAAAAACTATTGCAAAATACACTGAAATCAAGAGTTTCTCAAAAAACAATTTGGGAGACAATGAAGAACTGATTTTCGGTCTAAACTTTGAACAAAACGATAGATTCGGACAAATGTTTGACGAATTGGAGAGAAATAAGACTTTATTAGCGATTAATAACATGTCGTTAGGGATGACAACACTCGAGGGCTCTTACGCTCAGATTGTCTCAAAAATTGAGGATAAAATACCTGAAGATTTTGAAATTAATATCAATGATAATAACGATAATCTATTTACTGAATCATTAAATAATCAACAAAACAAAATCTCAACTTTAAGACTAGTTTTAAGTCAATTCTACGGCATTTTTGTTAAACGATATCATTATCTGTCAAAACAATTATCAATGTATTTAATATTATTAATAATTCCAATCATTTCTATAATGATACAATTTCAGTTAATTGATTTTATCATTTATAACAAGTGGCATGATCATTTTGAAAAAACACCGTTAAATATACGACACAATATTAATCCGCAAATATATGGCAAAGATATAAATGGATTTGTTGTCACAAATGATCAACAATTTACCAAAAGTTATGCCAAAGTATTGAGTGATTTGGGAATCAATGAAATAAATTTGCAAAATGATGTCCACAAAGATATACAACAATCACTACTTAAATACAGCGATGAAAATGGTTTATCGCCATATTTTAAAAAGTTATTGTTTGGCGTTTCCACTGATGATAATATCTCTACAAATTATTGTTTCAATATAAATGTTTGGTACAATTCAATAGCAATTCATTCACTGCCCATATCTATAAATTTAA